TTCAAAATAATGTACCTCATACAACCTCAGATGTCTGATAACATAAAGGCAGACAGGTATAAACGTTGCATCATGTTCTAAAAAAAAGGCAGAAATGCTTCCTGTCAATCGTTCGTAGGCTGAGAACGTCGTTTTTACACCGTATCACAAATTTAGTGAATTTGGTTGATAGTAACAAAGTTTTTAAAGTTCAATGGTGCCACGTTTGTTAGCAGTGCCTGCTTTCTTTGTGGTCTTTTTTCTGGATCTCAGCTTTGTTCATTTTATTCTGCAAACAAATCTGTTTTACTGCTCATAACGTGAATGTGTTGCTTAGGTGAGAAATGTATTGAGAGTGAAGGACGCTGGTTCATTCCACCTGCCTTTGAGAACTTTGGAGGAAAAGGCACGGCTAAAAAATGGAAAGCTACCATATCACATAAAGGGAAATCTCTACAGTTTTGGTTTAAGGTAATTTTTGTGACTTTCCATGCTTAAAATGTAGGGTAGGAGTTCCTGGAAGCTTTGCAAGCAAGTAATAAAATATTCATCCACCGGGGGGCTTGTTAGCAATTTGATGGGTGGATTATGATCCAATGATCAGTCGTTTTTCAACACATCTTCTGCAGTGTCTTCTGCAGTGGTCACTGGCATAAGTGAACGCCTTGTGAGTCGTTCTCTCTAGGAAAAAAAAAAAAGCTCTGGCGCTAGAAGTGAGCCTGAGGAGAGGTGAGCAGAACACGGCAGGTTTTGTAGTCTTATTTCCTGAAATTCAAACATCTCTCCTCTGATTGGCTAACAGCAACACGACTCAACCACTGACTGTTCGCTTTGCAATGTTGATGTTTTGTCTTCACAAATAACAAAAGCCTGAAGGATTTTTATCTGTTATGGAGTTGCTAATGATAAAGATTAGCTTCTACTAGCCAAGACATGCTAAACCAACAACAGCTTTCCCTGTCGTGAGCCAAGATTGTTTTCAATGTGACGTGCAGCTGTCTGGCTTTTTGAATTCGAGCGCTTCCCTGTCTATTTTCTATAATGCAAAAGACTATTTTCACATTGAGCCTGCATGTTAAACTCAGAGTGACCAATCATATTTATGAAAAAAAAAGAAAAAAAAAAGAGGTAAAAAAAAAATACAGCTTTGGTCTTTAAGAATGAGATGCTTGCAATGATTGGATGAGGTTTTTCCAGGGTTGTAAATTTCAGAGAGAATTAAAATGATCACATTTTTGGACTAAACTATTATTGCATTGGTAGCCATCGTTATGTGAAGAGCATTTCAATCAAAATGGCAACAAATTCTGCAGGAAAAAAATCTCCTACCCCACCTTTTACAAAAAAAATAAATTATTATGTATCTATAACAATGGTCAATCTTTTCTTCAAGGCACTCGCGGAGTAGACGCTTCTCGTTTCGCTCCCTTATCTTTTTTTTTCCCCAAGGCTCTTTGTCCTGTCTGCCCACAGAGCGCTTCTCTGCATTTCTTCTGAAAACCCCTATTTTTACTAACCATGGATTTGATGAATTGGTCATTCAATGCGATTGATAAGATTTTTTCAACAATGAGAACGAAGCAGGGGGCTCCCACAGGTCCACAGGGGACACACCCAGTGGGATATATATTGGATTCCTGGAAGGAGTGGAAGATCATATGTCTCAGCCAGCTGTCCATTGAGGACATCGAAGACGTGTGGATATTCGACCTGATGATCACTGGATTTCTTTGATTGGAGTGGGAGGATATCTGGTTTTCTGGAGATTTGGGGAGATGGGAGCGATTGGAGGGCGACCCGCACCCACGGAAAGCACCGTCCATGTGGAGACTTCACAGACTGGGACGTTACTCGAGGTGAATCGTAAGCTGGACAATGTTCTAGCTGCGATACCGGTATTAGTGCGCAAAATGGATGTCATCTCAGAGAGAGTCACCGGACGGTATGGACAGGTTTAAAAACTAAATTGGCTTCACTGAAGGACTGGAATGATCAGTTTAAAGACTGAAGGCAGAGAGAAAAATTATCTCAGCCTGACCCAAACAAAGTCTTGTTATACGAATCTGACGCCCTGGTAGCCTTGAGTGGCTAGCAACAAACTCCCATGAAGGAATGCAGACAGATGCTGTGAAAACCCGACCTACCCCCCCCCCCCCCCCCCCCCCCCCCCCGCCTTCGGATTGGTGGACTTCAGCCTGGTGAGGTCATCAACCTGCAGGAGTCAATGTGCTCTTTGCTTGTCCCAAGATCTCCCTCCCACCTTTGACTGTACAGCAGATGAGCGCCGTAGATGGCTGCTCTCGCTGGGGGAAACAGGACCCCAGCCCCCCCCCGCCTTCCTATTGGAGTCTCATGTTATGTTGTGTTGTCTGAAGTAGTGTTGTCAAAAAAATCGATACCTAGATATAAATCGATACTAAAAGTGGTATCCAAATTAGATATTCCATCCCTGTGGTATCGATATTATGGACTATTATACACAGCCTTCTTCAAGTACACCGACACGCACGACAGCCAGATGCCGTAAAGCAGCCTCCGCCTCCCAGACAAACAGAAGAAGAAGACGCCGCGTGGCTACATTGCAATTTCCCACGCGAGTTGTCTCAGATCCAAGTTTTGTCTGCCAAATAAATAAACAAAAACATAAACAGCAAATTTGGGAGGCGCTTCACAGCCCAACTTAATTAGCATACCAAGTCCGACACGTAGTTGTATATTCACGCTTATGTGCTTAAAGGAAACTCCCGTTTATTGCAACCCAGACTTAATTTCTAGCATGCAGTACGTTTGTTTACTCACGCTGACAACTTTGGTGCTACTTGGATTCCCCGGGGTATTTAGATCCATCGGCGAATCGCCATCAGTGTATATCCGTATAATGGGTGCGGCCGGGCACCCATGGTGCAGCCTCGAAATAAGACATTATCTGCACCAAAACATCTTCATGTCGAAAGGTTTTGTTAGGAATCATTAACGTGATTCCCCTGTTCGTTTGGAGCGGGTCTGGGATTTCTAGGCGTGAACAGACTAGCTGCGGCTAATCTAACCAGTGCTTTTAATGACGTCACTGCCGTGCGCCAATCTGTTTTTATTAAGATTACCGGTAGATGTACCTTTGTCCTACTGTGGAGAAATTCGTTTTCTCCCTTTATTGACCAACAGAGTTGTTCAAAAGTACAGAACAAAACATATGGCATTACATCTTATGACAAAAATGCACCTTAAACAGAGTTTAAGCAGCAAAACATCACTCTGCAAATAGTGTATATATAGTGAGACAATTCATGATTTAAAGTGTTAACTTTCGCCAGTTTTTGTATGCACTTTAAAAAAATGCTGATACTTGAAAGGTTTAAGCACTTTACACTTAATGTTTGCAATATAAATTGAGGAATGTTATTTTTTGAATAAACTTGTTCAATAAATTGGTGTTTTTAAATAGTATCGAAATCAAGTATCGAGTTTTTTCCCCAGTATCGAATCGAGTTTGAAATTTTAGGATCGTGACAACCCTAGTCTGAAGTCTGTTGCATATTTGTTGAGGTTTTTTTTTTTTGCAGAGCAAAGCTGCCCTCCTGGTGGGAGGGTAACTCTGAAGTGCCTTTTTTTCCCTCCACCTGACCCAATCCTCATGTAACCCTCTTATCTCTATTAATGTAGCGCGACTCAGGGTTGCGAATAACCAGTCACCAATTCTTGTCATGTGTCTTGCCCATGTATGTCTGATCTCTGAATTGTGTGTACTGAAACTCTAATTTCCCTCTGGGATTAATAAAGTATTGATTGATTGATTGATTGTATTGACTGATTGATTGATTGATTGATTGACTGATTGATTGATTGATTGATTGATTGATTGATTGATTGATTGATTGATTGTCGTTCCTCACAGAAAGGTTTGCTGTCCACAAAGGGTTACAAAGGGTGGGGAGCCAAACCAAGGAAGGTCAGTGAGAAACAGCAACACGGTACGACAAAACAGTTCTGTCACGCTGAATATTTATTCGTAAATCATTCAACAGAAGAAAATCCCGCCATCTAGTTCTGAGTTAGAAAGTGAAAAAACATCAAGCAGTGTTCAACAACAAAATACATCTTCAGGAGGTGAAGTCCCCACAGAAGAATCAGAGAAACTGTCTTCAAAGAACGGCGATGATGATGAAGGTGGCAAAGGTACAGGCGTTACAAAGCAGTTCATCAAAAAAGAAGAAGAAAAGAAGATAGATGACAGAGGTGAAGGAAAAAATGTAACCTCTGTAGACGCTGCAGGTATAAAACAGGAAGATAAACTGGTCCAGAGAGAAATGGGAGATGAGGATAAACCTGCAGATCACTCTCTCTCTAAAGGTGATTTTTCCTACAAAATCATCATTCTGAGAAATGCTACTGAAAGCTGTGTTGCTGTAATAACTTTTTGTGAATTAATTTCAGCACCTGACAAAACTGCACTGCAAACAAGGATGATGGAGATGTCCACAGCCTTTCCTTTGGTAAGATGGAGGGCTGATTTATACCCTCGATATTGTCACACTTGCTCTGGTTTGGTGTTGTTACATCACCTCCCTGTTACTTGCAGCCACTGTGCTGGTTTTGAATGACCTTTTATGCAGGTTGCAGCCAATGTACAACACGATCAACTGGAATAGAGAAAGATGATTGTATGAACAATGTAGCTTTAGTCTGGAAACGCTCCATTGACAACTCTCGGTCGTGGGACGGGTTCTACCGTTGCCTTTCAAACAATCTCTGCCTGCTACTGGATTATGAACAACGTGACATACTCACCGCAATGGATGTCAGTAAACAAGGCGGTCTGCTGTTGAAGAAGGCGAAAACACATCCTTTTTTCTAAATAAAGGCCTTAAATACATCTATCTGCTCCTGACTGTAATAAAGTCCAGGTCCAAACAGTCCAAAATTCATGTAAAAGCTGTTTCAAATGAGCTGTCGCCATCTTGTTCCACTCTGTTGCATCATCCCGCCCACCAGACAAATAGAGGGCCCTGATTGGTCCACAAAGCAAATAAAGCACTGTGATTGACCCACAATTGTGGACCAGTCACAGCGCTCTATGGGTTTGAAACTCCTCTAGAGAGCTGTGATTGGCCAGCCAGAATGCTGCTAGGGCTGCGGAGTTTCCCACGGAGCGTTCCAAGATCAAAGTTTGCAAAGCAAGTATTTGGTCTAATTCACTTGGATATGAAGAATGTTGATCCCAGAATTAAAGTGGATTATGTTAGGTTGTCAATTCTAACTCTTATAACACAGTCCATTTTAGTAACCAGATGTACACCTAGCTGCTGATTGAAGCACGGAACAGTGTACTAACACTCGGGTGCGACCATTGCTGTGACATGATGCCGGTCATCAAGATGCTCCCAGTCATGGGCGTAATTCACGCGGGGTACGTGTGGGACATGTCCCCCCCACTTCCCGTGACGATGCCCTCTGTCCCCCGCACTTTTTTTCAGCTGTTTTATGCGTTAATATGCGTAAACGCATTTTTCCGAGCCGTCTTTAAACGCACCTTAGGCTAACGCGAGCATCCAGTGCCAGTGGCAGTGTTGCCAACTTAGCAACTTTGTCGCCATTTCTAACGACTTTTCAGACCCCTTAACGACTTTATTTTTTGAAAAAGCGCATAGCGACAAATCTGGCGACATTTCTGACCCCCCTCAGCTACTTTGACTTCAACTTTGTAGCCGACTTTACCTGCAGATTAGAGATGCATCTGAAGCGACAGGACCGTCCTTCCTTCCAGAAGATCAGAAAGAAAATGATCTGCTCATGTGCAAGCAGCATGATCACGCTATCCCCATTGGCCAATCAAACCTTTTGTGGGTTTTCACAAGACCATTATTTGAGATAGCTACCGGAGCTACATAAAGGGCGACCGCTCCTTCCACCATCCTGCCGCATTTCGGCAGCTGAGCTCGGCTGGCACTGGCACGCAGCGTCGCACTCACACATGGCTTCTCACCACTTGTGGTGCATTCAAGGAACTTTGGAACTCTATGATGAGTTCAACAATGTAGCACGTTTAAAACTTTTATAAAAAACAGAATAATACTGTAAGACACCCCAGGTCATTGGCAGTTTGCATGTGACGTTTCTGAATACTAAATACGGCCTGCTTCTTTTTACACAAAAGTATTAAAAACAACAAAACCAAACAAAAACAATATATATATATATACAATCTGTTAGGTCAATATATAGCACTGAATCACAACAGAAGAATACATCTCAAGGCACTTGAAAACTACAAGAGAAAATTCATTTTGATTCAATCATACATACATTCCTATCAATTTAATGTTTTTGTGTTTAAGAGTTCCGTTCTCTTCAGACAAAATAGAAATATTCCTTCCATTTTTTGTGCCATCTTTCCTTGATGTGTTAAAGGCTGCTGTTTTGTATTCTATGGGGTTTTTATTTTAATAAAGTATTAAAAATAAATTAAATAATTTTTTAAATAAAATCACGCGAGTTTTATTTGACTTGCTCTACAAGACCGGTGACGTCATGACGCAAACGTGGTGACGTCATCACGCAAACCAGATGGCATCATTGCGTTGCATGCTAATTAGCAAGTGACGTCATCTGGCTACATCTAGCGACTTTTGGGGGGAACTTCAGCTACTTTCAGTCAAAAACAGTTGGCAACACTGGCCAGGTGCTGCTGCTGAGGGAACAGAGGAGCAGCACAATGATCAGCAAACCACCCGGAGACAGCAAAAGGCTAAAAACTTTGCAGTTTTTTCCAACCAAACTGTGTAAGTTGAGTTATGTTTTTGTGTGCAGACAATGTTAGCTAAATGATAGCTTGGTAGCCTAACTGCCAACATCATGTTAGTTAGTTAGCAATGTTGTGTTTTTCCTTTGCTAGTTAGTTATTGCTGGGAATAAACCCAATTCCGATTTCCGATGGCTGAACTTGTGCCACCGTGACTTTCCGCATGTTTGAAAGAAAAAATATTGTCACGATAAACAGGAGAATCAGGGAGGGTCTGTAGGTAAAACGAGAATAAGATAAGTGGCAGAGAAACGATGGCATAAAGGGACTTAAACATTTTTTTCCACTTTCACTGTAACCCATCCTAGTTTTATTTTAACTCATTCACTGCCATTGACGACTAAAGTCGCCATTTTAGATCCAACCACTAATGACGATTAAAGTCGTCATTTGCATTTTTTTTACTGTTTGAGCATCGGAACGAGACCCCGCGCTGAAAGAACAAATATCTCAGCCCTGAAGCCGATCTTCAGCCGCATACGTCACACATCACGTGATCAGGAAGCAGAACATCCATGTGTTAGGAGATCATTTTGGGCCGTTCCTGTAAAAAAAAAGTGAGGCACGAACCGGAAAAGCTTCTGCCGATCACAAATCGACAACGGATTATGAAAGAACGGATAACGCTCGAAACACGCAGATTCTTCCTGATGTAAGAGGTGAGTCTCCTCTTTGTTTTGTTTTTTTTGGTGTCGACATCATGCTAGCGCGCAACGTTCTGTGACTCTTAAGAAAACAGTAAAAACGGTGAGAAACGCTGCCAGCGAAGGGCCATTAGCGATCAGGAAACGGCTGGCAGTGAATGAGTTAACACTTTGCTTTCCACATTTTCCATTTATTTGTCTTTTGGCCACACAGACAGAGTAGTGTGAGGGAGAGTCTGTAGGTGAAAAGATAAAATAAGTGGCTGAGAAACATGGCATAAAGAGATTTTAGGTTAATTTTCATAGTAATGTCACCGGTGCTTATCCTAACTCTGTTCCAGTATTTTATTTTCCATCTTTACCTATATAGCCACAGCAGAATGAGCAGAGTCAGGGAGGAGACATCAGACCAAAGGACAGCATCAGGGATGGTGATGAGGGTCTCCAAAGGTAAGGAGAGATTAGAACTTGGTAAGAGATGGGAGAAACCAGGCAGGCCTTAGGAAAGGGCTTTCAAAGATCTTTCAGAATTATTCTCATTAACACTTAAACTATTTTTACTCTGGAATTTAATAGGTAGCCCAGGAAGAGTACATATTTTTATTTGTTTATTATTTATTTACAGATAATAATTTGACTGCTGCATTATTTCTATCTATCTATCATTTTTATCACGCCATTTTTCTTTATCTTGATTATTTTTGCACACATGCTGTCACATTTCACTAATATGTTGTGTTCAGTGTTGTGTGACTTTCTATGTTAATGCATTATATATTAGATGGCTTATTTTGCAACACTGGTTACATTTTATGTGCTAGGCAATAATTTTTTTTTCCAGCGCTGTTGTTTTGCTGAGCATTTTATACTCCGTGTTGTGATTTGGCCCTTAATGGTCTTTATGGATCATTTTTTTCAACTGAACCTGAGTTTGGCGACTAAAATTAACATTTGTATTATTTATAGTTTAAAGAACTAAAGTTGGTTCACTGGTGCTGTGTGGCTGTTATTAATGTTGGGTATTCAAGAATCTTTTTTATTTTTATTTTTGGAAAAAATTGCCCACTACTATTTAAACTTTCATTTGTTCATGCTAAGCAGGTGGCGCCCTGTAACTTTAAAATTAAATAATAGTAATAATCATTACTGTCTTTGAACCACTCCACTAATAACTAAACCAGTGGTTAAATGTTTGTTATCTACAAAGAAATGTTAGCCTGGCAAGCCAGACTAAATAATACAGACTAAATAAATGTATTATTTAGTCTGGCCACGCTCCATTGATGGCTCTCGGTTGTGGGGCGGGTTCTACCGTTGTCTTTCAAATGATCTCCGCATTCCACTGGACAATGAATGTGACATACTCTTGTTTCACTCTGTTGCATCATCCCACCCACCAGGCATATAGAGTGCCCTGATTGGCCCACAAAGTGGATACAGCTCTGTGATTTGTTCACTAAGCAGATAGAGCACTATGATTGGCCCACCAATATGGACCAATCACAGCTCTTTATGTGTTTGAAACCCCTCTAGAGAGCTGTGATTGGCTAGCCAGAGTCCTGGTAGGAGCTGTGGAGGTTCCAATGGAGCATGCCTAGACCAAACTTTGCAAAGCAAGAATTTGGTCTAGTTCACTAGGCTAAAGAAATGTAAGATTGAATGCGAGAAGATGATAAACTTGTAAGTCGCTTTGGACAAAAGCGTCTGCTAAATACATAAACATAAATATAAATAACTCGAAAAAAAGCTGTCCCCCTCACTTTTGAGATGATGGTTACGCCCCTGCTCCCAGTGGTGCAACTGTAGAAGGTTTGGGGTATTTAAGTTGGAGGGTGGTGTTTCTTTCGATACAAAGTACAGGCGTTCTGTGTTTGGATGTGTTGAAACAATTAGGGAAGGAAATCCAGCTCTTGTAATTATTAAAGTCAGTCTAATTATCATAGTGGGCAACGGTGGTACAGGAGTTAAGTGCTCGCCCCGCAATCAGAAGGTTGCAGGTTCGAGCCCCGCTCAGTCTGTCACTGTCGTTATGTCATTGGGCAAGACACTTAACCCACCTTGCCTGCTGGTGGTGGTCGGAGGGACCGGTGGCACCAGTGCTCGGCAGCCTCGCCTCTGTCAGCTGCCAGCTGTTTCCTGATCAGAAAAGCCCTTCGTTGCCAGCGTTTTTACTGTTTTTTTAAGAGTCACAGAACGTTGCGCGCTAGGATGATGTCAACGCCAAAACTACAAAACAAAGCGGAGACTCACCTCTTACATCAGGAAGAATCCGCGCGTTTCGAGCGTTATCCGTTCTTTCATAATCCGTTGTTCATTTGTGATCGGCAGAAGCTTTTCCGGTTCGCGCCTCATTTTTTTTCAGCAGCGGCCCAAAACAATCCCCTAACACATGGATGTTCTGCTTCCTGATCACGTGACGTATGCGGACGACGATCAGCTTTAGAGCTGGGATGCTTGTTCTCACGGAGCGGGGGCTCGTCCGACGCCCACACAGTAAAAACATGCAAATGATGACTTTAGTCGTCATTGGCAGTGAATGAGCTAAATGCATCTTTGGGACATTACATTTATTTTAACTAAGGCTCAGAACATCCCACTTGTATCGAGTGGAAGTTTTCTGCTGTGTTTAAACTCATAGTTTGCTTTTCCACAGAGTCATGGTCAGATAATCAGCAAGGTGCAGCCAGGTTTGTGACACTGATGTTTCCATTCTGAAAATTTCAGTGTTTCGGACGTATCAACAATAAAATGACATGGTATTTTTCTTTTCCTTCCTACCAATATTTTGTACTTTGAGCAGTTAAAACTGAAGAAGATAACTACATACCAGTATCAAAGAAGAGTAAACAGCCCTTTGCAACTGAAAACGTAAACACCGGCGCAAACGTGGCCCCTCAACAGCTACCTATAAACCAGGACTTACGTGAAACAAGAAGTGAGTTCTCAAACCACGTTAAGTGTATTTGTATGTAAAAAAGAAAACATCTATGACCTGTAAACTATGAAGTCTAGAAATATGTCTCATAACTTGCCAGGCATATCTCCACCTCCGAACTTTGCGTGTGACTGCAAATTCAAGAGTTGCTCAGATGCAACCAAGGATGGTCATAAAGCAGCGCACCTTCTAATGACGTCAGAGAAATGGTAAGATACCGCAGTCATATTATATTGATCAACAGAGATGTTCAATGTGTTCAAAAGATCTGATTCATTCACAGCCAAACCCTCACCGGCTCCTCAAACACGAGGGACACCTTGTTGTCGAGCAGCTCAGCTGACACTAAGGTACATGCAGTGGACTTAAAACAACTGAAGACCGAAAAAATAAAACAGCAGTTGAAAGCATTAAAAGCACAAGAGATGCATTACATCGAGACAACATACATGCAGCTAAAGGCGTTGAAGGCACAAGAAGAGTTTTACAGAAGAACAATGAAAATGCAACTGAAGGCAATAAAAGCACAAGAAGAGTATTACATTTCGAAACTAAAGGATTTGGAAGATCGTCGATAAAAATTAAACTGGGAGAGTTGTGACTTTTTTACTGAAACATGGAGACGGGGGGAGTCTGCTCCGTGTCTACCACACCGAGCCCGTCTCATCGAGACAGAGGTCTTACCGCAGAGATTAAACGGGAAATTTTACGCAAAACTAACTTTTTGCATCTTTTGTGCTGCCATGGGGGTCTCTACCACCTCTAAACCATTCATCTGTTTTCTGACAGTTTTTGGTTTTAGGAATTGTGTGCCGAAAACAAGCCGTGAGGTCCCTTAATGTGACGTCGCAGTAAGGAACTTTAGCATAGAATGCCCAGCCCCCTTTCAATCAGCCATTCGGTGGGTGTTTGAGCGTGGCCAGCAGCAGCTTGTTTTCCTACAGTGTTGAAACCCTGAAACGACTCTATCTGGAAGGTACTGAAAGAAGAATACTGCTGAAATTCCTGTGAAAGGGAATAAGTGCAAAAAAAGTACATCAACATATTTTTCAGACCATAGAGCTATTATGAATTCTTTCACCTTTATCAAGTCGTGCGCCCCCAAGGCCCTGAACATCCTGCAGTTCACTTACCAGCCTAGAATCTGGGTGGATGATGCTGTCATTTACCTGTTGCACCAATCCCTTTCTCATCTGGAGCTGGCAGGGAGCACTGTGAGGGTTGTGTTTTTTTACTTCTCCAGTCCTTTCAACACCATCCAGCCTGCACTACTGAGAGGGAAGCTGGAGGGAGCCGGTGTGGAGTGGGCAAACAGCTGTCTGCCTGGACCATCAACTACCTGACCAAGAGACCTCAGTATGTGAGGCTCCATGACTGGGTGTCTGAGGTAGTTATCTGCAGCACAGGGGCTCCGCAGGGCACGGTTCTCTCACCCTTCCTGTTTAGCCTGTTATATTTTGGACCAGTGCCACATACAAAACTTCTCGGATGACACAGCCATCATCATATGCGTATCAGATAGGAATGGTCAGGAATACAGGAGGGTCATCAGTGACTTAGTCAGATTGTGTGAGATCAACACTCTTCAGACCAACACCATCAAGACAAAGGAGCTGGACATAGACTTCAGTGAGAAGTCACCACCCAAAACAATGTTGAACAAAAGACATGACAGTGGACTCTCAACCCTTTAGGCGCCATAGTTTTATCAGTAAATTATGAATTTTTTTACATCACTATTTAAAGAGCTTGTAGCTTAAATCTGGTTAGAGATGGAGGAATATTGTAAATTAGAAAAATCTTCTGTATGAGCCAAATTTTGTGAAAGGAACAAATTCACTCACATAATTTGCATATTGTGACGTCATCAGGTGGCAGCCATATTGGATTGCATCACATTTGCATTTTTTTGTGTGTGTTTTTGTCTTATTTTCTTAGTGTTGTTATTGTTTATGACATATATACATATTCCTATGTAGACATATATATATATACATACATAGTTATATAATATTTATTACTTTATTGGTAATTTGTTATTTTTACTGCGTATCAGTCAAGAACACTCTTTTTGGTGCTTCAGCGTCATGAACACATTTCACTCATCACTTCTTTGGTTTATTTTGTTTATAATTGTCATATATATATATATATATATATATATATATATATATATATATATAATCCTCAATCTCAGGCTTTTCCACCAGCCCCATGCAGAACTGTATGTAAATCATATTATGAGAATATTAAAACAGAATCACTACGGAGTGATACGGCACTCCAGCATTCTGTGAGATTCAGCATTCTGTTAGTTGAGCTAACTCTGACTGGCCATCGGAGGGAATCTGCTCACACCGCATCTCTTGACAAGCTTTCGACAAGCTAAAAGCTGCCTACAGCTGACACAGCAAAACGGTTCCTTCAGCTATTCAGAAACAGCTGCTCTAGACGCAAACTAGTTCCAACCTGTGCGCCTGGCGACATTTCTGGACTGGAGCGTCCGTGCTGCGGTTAATCTACTAAACCTCGGTGCCCAGAGGTCAGCCGACCTCCCTGACCTCCGGATCCGCGAAGAGAGTCGCCAAAGAAAGGGTGAGGTAGACACATATGATTGTGTCTGATGCCGTTTTGATAAGAACCAACTTCATAGTTTAACGCAAACCAAATTATTTTTCCACTCCCAGAACTCAGTTCTTCTAGATACAAGGTTCTGATAAACATACACGATTTCATCACCACACATCACATCCCATCCGCTTAGATTCATCCATCACAGTAGTCTTGGTTAACTTGTCATGTTTTTTATTTGTTTATAAAATAAATTTATTATCTTTTCTAAACCTGACTCTGTCTGAATTGATACGAAGTGTGTTGATCCCTGAAAAAGCAAAGAATCCTAGAATCTTCTGATTAAACATCCAAAGACCAAGCAGGTTGATATTCTATATTTGATATTATATATATTCTATATTTATATACATTATCACAGCGTATTGGTCATAAGTAAAGGTAATATATTAAGCTTAAAAGCAACAATATTTACCCCCTACACCAGGGCTATTCAAATCCAGGCCTCGAGGGCCGGTATCCAGCACGTTTTGGTTTTACTCTGCTTCAGCACACCTGATTTCTATCAGCAGGTAATTAACAGAGCCTGATGAACTGCTGCACAGGTGATTCAACCACTGAATCAGGTGTGTTGGACCAGAGAAACCACTAAAACGTGCTGGATATCGGCCCTCGAGGCCTGGATTTGAATAGCCCTGCCCTACACGGTCGACTTTAAAAAAAATTAAGTCATGCAGCCCCTAGTGTGTGTGGGGTTGTCGTGTCTCCTGCAAGCTAATGCTGCAGCTCCGACAATTTTAGTTTGACGACGGCCGGAAAAAAGCTCCACAGTTGTTTCAGTAACCAAATTTTACCACAGGATGTCATTTTTACTCCATTTAAACATAATGCACCTTTAACTGCAACAACAACAAAAAAAATAACACATTAATGTTTATATTCTGCATTTGAGTTTGCTGCCCTCACATTCAATGAACAAAAATTATAATCTGGAAGAAGTATTTTGTTACAATTTTTGCATGAACTATACACACACTCATTTGTCATTATTGTTCATTCAGTTGAGTAAAATTTAAATACATTTGCAATAGAAAATTGGAAGTAACATCCACTGGTTGACTGTGCCAAAGGTCCCTCCCCTCTACGCTGAGACTAAGAGCTACTCCCATATCTTTTTCACTGTTTTACTTTTCCTCCACCCTGATGAGGCAAAGCATTCCGGACTTTGACGGTCTGAACATTTGCCATGGGATCCACCAACATTCCTGTGACAGAACAGGAAGATAATCCTCAAGGTAAATATGAAGATGAACTCTGTTTGCATGAGCTTTGTGTATTTCTCAAGCTTTTGTAATAATCTAGATACTTCCTGTCACAATTTCTTCTGTCTTCATGTCTTGTGTTACCTTTGAAGATCATTAATACGGGTCAAAGTTCAGTGAATCACCAGAGTAAGGAAACACTGATAAGAGACACAAGAAACTAAACTGCTTTTGTTACCTGATGATCACAGAAGCTTCCGTGTCCTTTGTATTTTACAAATGAAAAAAAGGTTTTTGTGTATTTATGTTCTGCTTTTATGCTTTTTACAGTATGCAGTTTGTTGCAAGAAGCCAAAGCTCAGCCTTGTAACAGGCTGGCAAACTTACGATAGTAACATTTAAATTGAACTGGGTCTCACTCAGGTCAGCGAGTCTCTTGTCTCGTTATACACTTACAGGACCAAGTCATAAAATCAGAACATCATGGTTTTTCTTAGATTTAGATTTTTTTTTCTGTAAGTCCGGTCAAAAAGTGAAACTTGTATATTATATTCATTCATTACACAGAGACTGATATATTTCTAATGTTTAGTTCTTTAATTTTGATAATTACAACTGACAACTAATGAAAATCCCAAAATCAGTATCTCAGAATATTAGAATAACAGTTAGGTCCAATGCAAAAAAGGGAATTTTAGAAGTGTTGGCCAACTGAAAAGTATGAGCATTTACAGCACTGGGTATTTTGTTGGGGCTCCTTTGGCCTGGATTACTGCAGAAATGAGGCGTACATGGAGTCCATTAGTCTGTGGCACTGCTCAGGTGTTATGAGAGCCTATGTTGCTCTGATAGTGGCCTTCAGCTCTTCTGAATAGTTGGGTCTGGCGTATTGCATCTTCCTCTTCACAATAATCCATAGATTTCCTATGGGGTTAAGGTCAGGCCAGTTTGCTGCCAATCAAGAACAGGGACACCATGGTCCTTAAACCAGGTACTGGTAGCTTTGACGCTGTGTGCAGGTGCCAAGTCTTGTTGAAAATAAAATCAGCATCTTCATAAAGTTGGTCAGCAGCAGGAAGGATGAAGTGCTCTAAAACTTCCTGGTAGACAGCTGTGTTGACCTTGGACCTCAGAAAACACAATGGACTGGACCGAGATGACATGGCACCTCAAACCATCACTGACTGTGGAAAATGTACTCTGGACCTCAAGCAATGTGGATTCTGTTCCTCTCCTCTTCCAGACTCTTGGACCTTGATTTCCAATGGAAATGCAACATTTACTCTCATCAGAACATAGCTTTGGACCATTCAGCAGCAGTCCAGTCCTTTTTGTCTTTAGCCCAGGCAAGACACTTCTGACGCTGTCTCCTCCACTGTGTAGCTTAACACGAGTAATGCGACAACTTAAACCATATCTCTGCATTCATCTGTGCGTGGTGGTTCTTGAAGCACTGACTCTAGCTGCAGACCACCTTTTCGAATGAGTTTTGTTTCACAGTCCTCTCCAGGGTGCAGGTATCCTTATTTCTTGAGAAAGAACACATTTTTTGTTGAGCATCATGACGCCTGTGTTTGGCCACGCCACTGCTCGACTCCTGTTTTTGATTGTTTTCGCAATATATGCGGTCATCTGGGCCCAATTGTCCCACAATGGTTCTTGGAGACATGAAAATTCACCTGGACAATCCCAGCTCATCAGGCTTCCTGTCACTAATGTCATCATTTGATTTAAAACTAGTACAAAGTCCTCCAACTCACAAAGCTGGAAAAGCACTTGACCTCATTTTCACGAGAAACTGTGCCATAGACACAATCTCTGTCACACCACTGCATCTTTCGGATCATTACTTCATCCATTTCAGCATGACTCTACAAGGGAGGTCCACTGCTTCCTCCCCAATGGTCTCATTCCGCTGCAACCTCTGCAATCTGGCACCCAACCACTTCTCCTCTCTTGTTGCCTCCACTCTTCCATCTCCCAGCACATTCTCTGCTTATGAAGTGAATGAAGCCACCGAGTCACTCTGCTCCACACTCTGCTCTTGTCTTAATAACTTGTGTCCTTTAGCCACTAGACCTGCTAGATCCTCTCAGTCGCACCCTTGGCTAAATGATACCCTCCGGTCTCTATGCACCAATCTTAGAGCTGCGGAACGCAAATGGCGCAAAACAAAAGATCCTGGTGATCAATTGAAATTTCATGAATTACTGTCCTCATCACTGATGCAAAGAAAGCTTTCTACACTGAGAAAATTCTCAGCTCTGCTGACCCTCAGAAACTCTTTTTAACATTCAAAACTCTGCTCGCCCCTCCTTCTCCACTTCCTACCAACAATCTATCAGCTGACACCTTTGCCTCATTCTTCACTAACAAAGTGGCAGCTATAAGCAAACAGTTTACTCAGCTGGCCACTCCTGAACATTCACTACCACACACTCCTTGACACAAACTCAATAACACTTGAGCACAAAAATAGGGACTAAGACTTTAGTTTTAACTCTAGCTGGCAAGAGCTACCCAACGTGAGTAATCATCCGGCGAGGTGAAGTGAACTCTCAGCTCCTTATAAACGCTGGACCGGTAAATTAGGAAAAGCCTGCAGCTGGCCGCTCTCCGGAACCGCCCACCTGCAGAGACTTGGGGCATGATTAGCAGAATGGTGCTGACTCACCCCAGATCCTGACACGCCTGTGGAAGTCTACTAAACCTGAGGTCCATAGGCTGCACCTTAAGGACCTTATGTCTTCTTTAAATGAACTGATGAAAAAGACCAGGTCTGACTACTTCTGTTGACATCGCAGCTTCAGGTTGCCTACCTATCACGGGAGTCAAACCACCATCTCCGGCCTGGGTATCGGTCATGCTGATCTTGTGTTATCCTTTAGCTGTACAAAACCACAGGAGACATACTTGGCGCTTTCTGGAAGCCACACTGCCCCAACGCCCGCTCAGCTCAGCGAAAGGGGAGGCCCCTGCCTTTATTGAATGACGCGGAACTCACATCACATGTAACCTTACGCTGAACGAAATAGAGCCCATGATATTGTGGCAGAAGCATTGTATTCTAACACTCCCACTCGATGATGCCACTATCATTTACTTCAGTCCTTATTTTCCAAATATATTGGGCTTGAACTTTTCAACCTTGGCTCTAGAAGCAGACTTTGTGAATACACCTTCAACCATATTCTCAGTTGGACAATACACCAAAACAACTTTCCCCTGAACCACATTAGACCTGATGAAGTGATATTTAATGTCCACATGTTTGTTCCTCTGACGGTTGACAGGGTTCTTTGCAAGGCATATAGTCCCTTGGTTGTCCTCAAAGACTTTTGCTGCATGTTTTGAACTGCAGCCAATGTCCTTTAACAGTTGAGTCAAATGGAGCGCTTCCTGAACAGTAGCTGCTAAGGCCACATACTCCGATTCACATGTCGACAGTGCCGCCGTTGGTTGTTTCTTTGCTTTCCTTGAAAGAATGGCACTTTCTTGACTGAACTGAAACAATAGCCTGTAGTGCTCTTCCTGTCCTGAACATCATTTGCCCAGTCCGTGTCAGAGTATCCAACCAGTTCCAAATCTGATGAACATTGGTTGTAACACGGTTCATAGTCCATGGTCCCCTGTAAGTATCTGTACACATGCTTCAAAGCAGTCATGTGTTTTTCTCTGGGATCTGACATGTACTGAGACAGTTTACTTACAATCCAACTGATGTCTGGTCTAGTACAGGTCATGATATAGATGAGGCTGCCCAAAATTTCTCTGTAATTTCTTTGATCAGTTTTTCCACCCTCTGGTGACAAGTCACATTTCATCTCACTGGGTGTAGCTCTAGCTTTACACTCTGCCATGCCAAACCATTTTAGTATTTTCCTGATGTATCTGGACTGATTCATTTTTACACATTCATCCTTTTGGGTGAAATCAATCCCAATGAACTGTGTGAGGTTTCCAAGGTTTTTCATTTTAAACCTACTTTTCAATCTCTCCTTGATCTCTCTCAAACACACCTCATCGCTGGCAGCCACAACTATATCATCTACCCACACTAGCAGAATGACCTTCTCTTTGTCAGAAAGTTTGGTATAGATACAGTGGTCAGCTTGGCTATGATCAAAATCATTTTCAATCAGGAATTCATGGAGCACCATATTCCAATTCCTGCCTGACTGCTTGAGACCATAAATAGATTTGTTTAACTTACACACAAGTTGCACCCCCTCCTTTGAATCGAGCTGGAAACCTTCAGGTTGATCCACATAGATCTCACAGTCAACTGGTGCATGTAAATATGCTGCCTTGACATCCATCTGATTTAGTGCAAGATTATGTTGTGCAGCAAGTTGCATTAGTGCCCGTAGTGATGTCAGGTTAGCTGTCGGGGAAAAAGTCTCTGAATAGTTGAGTCCTTCTACTTGGCTGTATCCCTTTGCCACGTATCTGGCCTTATACACTTCATTCCCCTTATCATCCTCTTTAAGAGCGTACACCCACCTTTCCCCCACTGTCTGTCTACCCTCTGGTAACGGTACAAGTGAGTAGGTGTTGTTCTCTTCAAGAGAGGCTACTTCCTCTTTCATAGCCTTTTTCCATTTTTTTGAAGTTGGTGATGCCATAGCCTCCTTAAATGTCTGTGGCAGTCCAACTGTAGCCCTGTAACAGTAGTCTATGGTTAACTCAGTATTCTGCACTGCACACTCATAGTCCTCTAAGTACTTAGGTTTCTTCCTGATTCTATCAGTAGTGTGTGTAGTCTGTGTGTTACCGTCAGTGTCCTTGGTTGCGTATTCATCAGTTTTCTACAGTTTGCTCACTCTGTTGCTGACTAGTCTGACTTGGCATAGTTACCCAATCTACAAAGTAGTCCTCCGGTTGGTCCATGTCGGTCTGCGTCTGGCTCTCAGTCACGTCTTTTGCAACGAATTGAACCAGTCTGTGTTTCTGAACCTTGTTTTTCTCTGGAAAATAAATCATGTAGGCAGGTGAGTGACGGTCAAAACCAACAAAAATCCCCTTTTTGCCTT